CCTTGGCACATCCATTATCTCCCTGCAGGAGATGGAGGTGGAAGCCCAGTCGGAGGGCCAAGATCAAGATGAGGAGGAATGGTCCGAGGAAGAGTATGACGAGCAAGGCGCAGTTTGAGCACAACAGAGCAATCATAGTACAGGAAGTTGAAGGTTTCCCTTGTTGTAGTGCCTAACCGTGGACGGATAAGGAACATCAGGGTCTCAACCCAGCTTACTAGACTGTTTCTGGAACCCCCCAAGCCCCCCCAGGCCATTTTGTTCAGTGGCGCCTTAAAAAATGTAATAATCTTCGTTCCAGTTGGTTTCCAGCTAACCAGGCGCAGCCAAACGGGTTGCCCCCCCCCCCTCCCCGTGAACCCAGGGTGAGCACTCTATCTCGTTCGGTCGCAGTCGGGCAGGTGACGGCTTGCCCACAGAGCTGGAGGACGAGACCTTTTGAGCGCGCTGTGAAGGCAGGGGGCACTCTTCAAGTGGATTGGTTTTGAAGGCAAACCGAGGGAAAACCCAAGGGGGCCAATCAAAGCCGAAGAAAACGGGGTTGATTTTGTTTGGGCTTGGTGTGGGTTTGGTGCCCTTTTTGGGTTCTTTTGGCAAAATAGATGGCGATTCCTGGTTTACTAGCTGGTTTACTCATCTACCAGGGAAACCCATCTATTTCCCCCAAAAGGACACCTATGGGCAGGGGGTTTGGAGACAAACCCCATGCCCGAAAGCTGGGGTTGAGTGATGATGGACCTCCCATTTTATAGGAACATGGTCTTCCAGAACCCCGGCAGAGATGAGCTTCCCTGCACGCAAAGCTGGGGCAAGGTTCAAAGGGACTTGGACGGTTGCCATGATTGGAACCCGGACCCTCCAACCAAGTGGATTCCGTTACTCCCTTGACAACACGTGCGCCAATTCCGAGCAAGGAATGTGAAGAAGCGGACATCAGTTTCATTTTGCAGATTCGTGCTGGATTCCAATTTGTCTAACATTGGTTTAGTTGGTGTGTAAACGGATGCAATTATCAGTAGGGGTGGTAATAAAACATTGTGGCTTGGGGTTCCATGCTGGTTTAATTCAATACTGGAGGGCAAGCGTGGTGCAGCATGCCCACTTCCCACCTGTGCACGACATGGTCATCCCACTTCCCAGCTGCAAAATCTTAACATGGCACAGAGGACCACGGACTTGATGGATCTTCGGGTCGCCTGAGGCATTGCTGCGGCGACGAGTTTTGGCTCGCTGATGGCTCGCTGTAACGCTGGCCTTTGCTTATGGATTCTCATTTGCAGCGGGGAAGCCTGAAGGGAGGACACCGTGCGAAACCCTGCTGCTGTGAGAACCGCTCGTGATTTTCCGGACGCCCTGTGAGACCAGCAGATGGCTCTGCCGTCTTCCCGTGTCCAAGGGCGCCATCACAAGTGTAATGTACCAAGTCAGGCGACTGGGAGAGCTTCATTCTCGGCGCATTTGAAGATGCTTGAGGTCAGTTTCTGGCATGAAGCATTGGATTTGAAGATGCTTGAGCCCAATTTCTGGCATTTGGACGCATTTGGACAACGCCTCGAGTGAAATCTCCCATGGCCTCCGAGTTCCTTCAATTAGGAGCGACCCTTAACTTACAATGCGTCTTGCAAGTCTTCAGGCTGGCGGTGCCAGCCGGCCAGCCGCCAGCCTGGGCTTGAAGACCTTTGGCAAGCGCGGAAGCGTGGGCCCATTCATCGACTGGCCGTTGTTGTTTTTTTGTTGTTTCTTTCGATTATTTTTCTGTTTTGTTTTTTCTCGGGAACACCCGCCTTTGTGGCTCAGACTAGTTGTTTGCTGGGTTTAGGAAGAGTCCTTCCTTGTTGCTCCCATATCCACCGGGCAATTCTCGCGGTCCCGCGGTCCCGCGGCTCGGTGCCACTCGCCGCGCTTGTCATTGTCTCACCGTCAATTTGGCCGCGCCCGCAGGACTCTGCTGCTTGACTTAGTCCAGTGCGCGCCGCTGTGAGGCGCTCGCCACTGAGGAAAACTCCGGCGCCTTTGTCGGGGGCTCTGGCTGCCAACGTGTCATTGGGCGACCCTGGCAAGGTGGCAAGGCGTTTGTGAAAGGCTTACTAACGGAGGAGCTAGCTGCTCGAACCGGAACTCCTTGAAGATGTGCACGATTTCCTGCAACCAGCAACATGTGTCAACACTATTTGCACATGCAGTACGGCCTGGATCAGCAACCAGCCACATATGCCAACACTAGGACCCGCAACATATGTCAACACTATTCCCACATGCAGTACGGCCAGGCATAGCATTCGAACAAGTCATACCACTATGACCCGGATCACATCGCGTTCAAGCACGTCATCCGGAACTCCAGCGCTGCCAGCGCCGCTCCGCTGCGGCGGATCGGTCCGCGCGCTTTAGCGCACGGACCCGGGCGATCCCCCGGGCCATGGCGGGGCCATGGCGGAGCTCCGGGACACCACCAAGGAGCTCCGCGCGCTGGCGCGGAGGCCCCGGACGGGAGAGGGTGCTACGTGCATTTAGCTTCCAAAAGGTCTGGGAGAGCGGCTCAAAATGGAAGAAGCTGGGGCCAACCGCTGGTTTTTAGTCTTGGCTTTCATTTACCAAGGTGCCAGTTTGCCATTGTTTGAGCCGCAGCCATCTTCAGTGCCAGAAGGTCCCCCCCAGTGCCATGACTTCTTCAGCACAATGGTTACCATGGCGCAGAACACGCACGGCAATGTCACGACTTGTTTACAGCCTGGCCACGAAGCACGCTCAAATACCGGTACACCCAGAAAAGGTGAGGAGGTTTTTTCAGACATCAAACAAGATCGTATCAGAAGGGTGGAGAAAGTGGTTGAAAAGACTGGGGCAGCCCCACTGTCCAAGAAGCATCATCCTAGGGTTTAATTCCCCATTCTTTTCAACCATCCTTCTGTTGAAAAACCAGCTGCTTTTCAGGGTTCTTGGATGGTTTCCTGAAAAGCATCCCTGGATTCAGAATGGTTGGAAGCTTCCCCTAGAATCCTCCTTGCTCGCGGGCCAGAAGCCTTTGGCAGCTGGGCCTCTGCACTCTGTGCCAAAGCCTCAGCCAGCGCTTGCAGCCCGACCACCTGCTGCTCAATGCTCAGATCGGGGCATGCGAGCGGGCGCAGGGCTGGTCGCAGTCGCTGGCGACATTGGAGCGCCTTGAAGAGGATCATGGCTGGTGACTCAGTTGTCCGAGCTTCACCTGTTGGTTTTCCCATTTTGGCTCATGTTTAGGTTCACTCAGGCAGTTGAGGGATGGGGGGAAGCGAGAAGCACCTTGTTAGAGCCCGCAGGTTCGAAAGGGAAGCAAGGTGGTGGCACCTATGAAAGGGCGTCCATGGGTTTTGTAGCGAGCCAAGGCACTATGTCCCTCTTTAGTAAGGACATCTTGTTTTTGAAAGGCAATTGAGGTGATGACACGCTACATGGAGGTTCCCTCTTTTGGTTGGTTTGGTTTTGCAACCAAGACACGCCCACCCGCTATTTCAGGAGCACGTTCTGTGGCAAGACCAAGCCAAATTTGTTTTGTCAATTCTCAATGTGTTTTTTTGAGGGTGCACCTTGTCGGGTGGTTTGAAAGGGGTTAATGTTGGGGAGTGAATAATAAAGGCCCCCCCCCCCCTCAAACAAAATGGGGGGGTCAATAGAGGAAACCCTAAAAACAAAATGAGGGTCAGACCGGGTCTTCCCTAAGTAGTATTCCAGTAAGTATTGGTTAGTATTGGTTTAGTATTGGTTTAGTATTGGTTTAGTATTCTTGCTGACTGGCTTCGTACTGCTTAGAATTGGTTTAGTATTGGTTTAGTATTCTTGCTGACTGGCTTAGTACTGCTTAGAATTGGTTTAGTATTGGTTTAGTATTCTGGTTGACTGGCTTAGTACTGCTTAGAATTGGTTTAGTATTGGTTTAGTATTCTGGTTGACTGGCTTAGTACTGCTTAGAATTGGTTTAGTATTGGTTTAGTATTCTTGCTGACTGGCTTAGTACTGCTTAGAATTGGTTTAGTATTGGTTTAGTATTACTGGCTTAGTACTGCTTAGAATTGGTTTAGTATTGGTTTAGTATTCTGGTTGACTGGCTTAGTACTGCTTAGAATTGGTTTAGTATTGGTTTATATTATTCTGTTGACTGGCTACTGTTAGAATTGGTTTAGTATTGGTTTAGTATTCTTGCTGACTGGCTTAGTACTGCTTAGAATTGGTTTAGTATTGGTTTAGTATTCTGGTTGACTGGCTTTGTACTGTTTAGAATTGGTTTAGGTTTAGTATTCCCTGGCCCCAGTCCTAAAAACTTTTCTCAATTAACTCCCCTTAAGCAAATCTCATTATTGGCTTCCTGGGTGTTCCCTGTACTACCCCCTTGAAAATTTGGCAGGGTGCAACTTTTAGTAAGGGCTGTCATAAAGAATTTGGCTGTTGGGGCCTCAGTTAAACTTCCTTTTCTGGGGAGACTCAGTAGTTCTTTGGAAAGGCAACTTCCTTTTCTGGGGAGACTCAGTAGTTCTTTGGAAAGGGAAGCCCTTTTCCCTGCAGGCATCCCTGGCCCCAGTCCTAAAAAACTTTTCTCAATCAACCCCCCTTAAACAAATCTCATTATTTTCCTGGGTGTTCCCTGTACTACCCCCTTGAAAATTTGGCAGGGTGCAACTTTTAGTAAGGGCTGTCATAAAGAATTTGTCTGTTGGGGACCTCAGTTAAACTTCCTTTTCAGGGACTTCAATCATCATCTCCTTGTTGGTGGTGGTGGTAGGTTGGGGGGGCGGGCGGCGGGCGGGGCAGAGAGAGAGAGGAGTTGCACTGAACTAGGGATTAATTATCAAACTTTTTTTTGGGGAACATTTTTCCGGATTTTTTGCCCCTCACAAAAACTTGTTTGTATTACCTCCCCCTTTTGCTTTTCAGGGGTGTGAATAGTTTTGGCTAACATTACCCTCCCTCGCACTAATATGGTAACTGTGGGAAGGACCTTGGGTGCCATGTTAGCAGGGAGGGTAAACAAACAGCCAACGACAGCCAACCACTATTTTTGGATTGCTTTCCCCTATTGTTTGATGTTTTTCGCCTTTTCAGGTGGTTGGAAAGGGGTTACGCTGTTTCCCCAAAACACAGCAACTGTGGGAGGTTACTTGGAACATAATTTTTGTCTAGGACGGACCACCTGGGTGCCATGTTGGTGGTATTTTGGGCGGAAATCCATATTTTTATTTTTTGAAGGTACTTGCTCCTTGTCAGGTGTTTTTTCAATTGGTTAAACGAAGAACCACCGGTTTCTTTCTTTCTCTTTTTTTTTTTTTGGGGGGGGGGGGGGTATGGGGGTTTAACGCTTTTCCTATTTTGGCACAAGGTGGACGCAGAGCCACCACTTTGGTTTCTCTTTTCCAAACATCTTTTTGGCTTGGGGTGGTCCCAGGTCCTAGTGGCACCCAGGTGGGTCTTCCAATTGGCGGTCCCGGACATCGCCTCCTACGGCACCGCGCTGAGCGCCTGCTCCAAGCGGCGGAGCTGGGCGCAGGCGCTGCGGCTGCTGAGCTGCGCGGAGGCCCGGCAGCTTCCCCAGAATTAGCTCACCCTTTTTTGTGTTCTTGTTTTTGTTGTTGTTTTCTTTGCTTTGTTTGTTGTTATTTCATTTCGCTGTTGTTTCTTCTTGCTTTTTGCTTTTTTGGCTTTTTGGGGTTCCCTAGGTTTTCCACTAACCAGGCAAACAAGACTAAACCAATTCTTGCTGGGGTCCTCTTCTTCCAGCCTAGGCAGCTGAGGCCGGGGCCCGGTTCGGCGGGAGGGCGGCGGGCGTGAGGGCGACCCAAGGAGACTGGGCCCCCCCCGCTAGGTGCCCTTTCTCACCGTTTCTTTTTTGGGTTGGGAGGTTTTTGTTTTTTTTTTTTGGGGGGGGGGCATCGCAATGGACACAAAAAGGTATCCTTGTTCTAACCTTTTTACTGGAGGAGCTCGGAGAGCTATATGGCCGTGGCCTTTTTGGGTCAGTTTGGTTGGAATTGGATGGGTTCCACCGGTTGGTTTTATTCCATGGCCATCGATTTTTATTTCTTATGGGAGTGCTCGAAATTGGTTTTAGTGGGGATCACTTTTGGAGGGGAACACCCCCATAAAAACTATACGGGGGTTTATTCATCCGGGCTCAACATTACATGGCCGAGGTGGTGAAAAATAAGGCGGCCGCAAAATGGGTTGTCCTGGTACACGGAACCCAGGACCAAATCCTGCAGTTTTCTGGTGGTGTAATTGTCATCCATACCCACATTCGAGGCCCCCCCAAATAGTGTTTCTCCGACAGAATCTGGGTGGGCCTATTGTTGAGCCAGGCCCAGGTCTATGTTTGAGCCCAGCCATGCCTTCGAGGCCGAACATCATCTCCCACAACACGGCCCTGAACGCGGCCCTCACAAAAGCTTGGAAGACCAGTGTTCAGATGGCGCAAACGGTGGCTCAGCCAGATTATAGCGGTAGGAAGGTGGGTGTATGGTGGGAACTAGCGGTCCAGAACCTTCAAGAAGACATGTATCAAAGCTGGGGGGAGGAATGCAAAAAGAAACCAACTAGTTGGAGAGCCCCAGTTTCGACACATTCCGGCAAAATGTGAGCCAGGCAATTGATCAAAGCTCCATTTTTGCGGCCAATGGCTTTTCACCACGCTTTCTTTTCAAGGTGAAGCTGAGAGGAATCTCTCCCACGATCATTACCTGCAACAGCGAGACAATGGCCATGGCCGGAAGCTGGGTGTCGGCTTTGGCGGTGTGTAACGCACTGCGGGGGATCCAACTGGACGAGACCTCCTTGGGAATCGTCACGGGCGCCCGTGCGGCTGCGGACGTCCCGGACGGCTGGCGGGAGTGTTTCGAGGCTTTGCAGAATGGGCGGCGGAAAGGCTGGGCAAACAAATGCGCAGCCAGGGCTGGGGTCTGTGCGGCCGGTTTTATAGAACCAGGTTACAGGCTCAGTCCCTTGAAGAAAATCGCCAGAAACCACCTGCTTAGGGGATGCCAGCTGTCAAGGTGATTCGGTTCGCCCAAATTTATCCGGTGGGGTCGGCGGGGTGAGGCTAGTGGGTGCCAGAGCCTTTCTATCCGCCTTCTGACCTTTGTGCTGTTGGTGTTTCGAAGCTGACTGGGGCGGCTCAAGACAGTTTTCCCTTCAAATGAACCCTTTGGTCGGGATTTGTAATTTGGATTGGTGGTTTGGGAATTGGAACCTCTGGTTCTTGTTTAGGGTACAAATAAATTGGCAACCCCAAACCACCAATCGCCCGGCTTGAACATTTTGCGAATGGATTCTTGCCTGTTGGGCCCACTCTTGTACATGTCCAACCATGGGTGGTTATCACCTTTCGGCCCGGCCCATTTCCCTTGGGGCGATGGGGGAACTTGGGAGCTCCAAGCGGGCTGAGAAACACACCGCGGTGGGCAGCAGCAAGCTGGCTGGTAAGCAGCGAAATGGGTATGGGCCTGGGTCAAAATTGAGTCCATTGGCAACCCATTTGGGATACTGATTTTTGACCCACAGCCAGATGGTGGCCCAGAAAGCCTGCAAAGAAAGGCAAGCATCTTGTGGATGTTGGCCCAGGGCAGGAATCAGAAAGTGCAAAGGCAACCTATTTGAAGGAGGATGCCACACTTGAAGCTGAACAAAACACATTTACAAATTAACATACTCACTTTTCAATCCAGAAACGCCGAGCAAGTCGCAACGGCCAAGCGCTGTGAGTCAATCTTAGAGCAGATAAGGGATGCCTTGCTGCCCAGAAGCTGCATCTTTCCGTGTGCGGGCCTGTCAAAGAGCTGTGCCCTACAGCGTGGCAAACATGACGCAAGACCTAGCTGATGTGAAAGTGTCCCTGCACCCCAGAACCCATGCATGTGCGGCCTCTTCACAGTGAGCGCTAGCCTAAACCCCGAGCCATACCAGGCCTTCTTCTTATTCCCGGCTGCCGCGGGCTTCTCATGCGCAAAATGCCAGAACTCTCTGAATCACCAAACCAAGCGCGGCATCACAGGCAACAGGCGGCGTTGGGAGTGTGAGGGGCAGAGTCGGCAGCGTCGGCAGGCCTGGCGCTGAGCCAGATTGCTTTGAACACCGCGCTGGGTGGCACTGTCACCTCTGGCGCTTGGTTGGCTGCCTGCCGCTTGGCGGGCAGCTTGGATGCAGTGGGCTTCTCCTCCTTGGCAAACGCCTGCTCCACGGCGCTGGCGTGGTCTGCGGCTGCTTGGCTCAGTGCCCCTTTTGTGGCGGCTTCGCCCGGAGTCGCTGAGCTCCTTTTCTCTTGGGCCTTGCGGGCCATTGCGCTATCCGAATCCCCCCCTAATTGGGAGGGTTTAGGGCCCGTAACGTGGGTTTAGGGTGGGTCATCACAAAGCCAAACAACGGGCCTTTAAAGAAGCGCGGGGTTGGGGCAGTAGAATACAAATAAAGGCACTAATGGAGAATAGAAAGTGTGCGATGACAAACAAGGTGCTGAGTTCATCACAAGCCGAACAACGGCTCTAAACAGAAGTGGGGGGGCTAGGGGCTGTTCCCCAGCCTGCTTCACATAGAGTCCATTTTCGGGCAACCAGATGCAGTCAAAGTAAAGATGGGTAAGATGCAGTTAAGATGGGTACGCGTCAAACACTATTTTTTGTTCCCCCCAAAATGGTTTCCTGCGGTTTTTTGCTCCCAGCTTCTTCCCCAGGCTCGCCTTCGTCGCCCAGGCCGCCGCCTGGCTGCGCGCCGCCGGCCTCCGCGGCGTAGCCTCCGGGGACGCGAACCTCCGCAACGCCGCGCTCCGCGACGCGGGCCGCGGGCTCCGCTGGGCGCAGGCGCTGGCGCTGCTGCCGCAGATGCGAAGCCAGAAGCTGCGGGCGGAGGCGAGCAGCTGCTTGGGCCGTGGCCAGAGGTGGCCCTGTTTTTAGGTGGCCTTTCACAAATGGCTGTGGGTCACAAATAGGTACCCCTGCAGTTCCCTTCTACGCAGGAATGCAATCTCCTGGCCAGCCCCCACGGACCCAACACGGTCATTTTCGCGGATGGCTGCCGCGCATAAAAAACGCGCGGCCAAAGAAGCGGGCATCGAGTTTCATGACATGAGGCGCAGACTCAACAAATTTAGTTGCCTAATCCGACAGGCCAAAGACCCTTCTTGGGTGTGCGTAAAGGCTTCATGCCTAAGCAGCTAAGCACGAAAAGTGTCAGGTCTGGCTTGCTGAGCCCGCATGTGCAGTGGACGTACAAGTGCCAGAGATCCCGAAATGGCAAGCAAAAGTGGAGTATGAAAAACTGACGCCGCCCCGCGTCGCTCACGTCGCCGAGATACCCCCAATTCTGGTTCGCATGAAAAATTGAGATTCGCCTGGTTTAATCATCTAGCCCTTACGCAGGACGCCCGCAGCCCAGGCTTCGGCATCCTCGCCGCCGGTTTGGCCACGTGCCGCCTCTGGCGGCGCAGCTTTTCGCTCGCGGCGGAGCTGCGGCGAAGGGCGGCGGCGCCAAGTCTGGCGATGGCGGCGGCGGTGGGGGCGGGACCCTGGCGCCAGGCGTTCAACGCGCCTTGGGACAGTTCCTTGTTGTTCTCAGTTGCCCAAAGCGAACCGACTGTTTGAGCTTTGGGCTTAAATTGCCAAAGTTGGCAACCAGTTTTTGGTGGTGCCAAAAGGCGATCAGCTTTGATTTCCAGGTCCTTTGGGCAAGTGAGTGTTTCTATTTGTGTTTTTGGGTTGAGTTGTTTCTTCAAAAAATCGCTTGCAGGCTTGGCGGTTTGGATTGGCAGTTCGTGGCTTTCAACCCTCGGCATTTGTGGCGGGCAACGGGGGGGACACAACTCCTTACACACCAAAACACCGGGCGGCAAACCACCAACCAGCGGGTATTTTCTGCGTTTTGTGGGATCACAGAGTTTAATTTGCCTTGGCCTCCTTGGCTCTAGGTGGGCAGCCTGAGCGGCAGCGCGAAGAATGCTTGGGGGGCGAATGTGGCGAACACCAACTGGCCCCAAGCTTTGATGCTGTTGCCCGGCCCGGTCTTCGGTAGCGGTGTTCGTACCTTTTTCCGGATTTCATGTTTTCGGGGGTTCTGACCAGGAAAAGGTTTTTTTTGTATGGTGCAATACCTTTGGGTTTTTGCGCGGCGCGGGCAACGTTCCAGCCGTTGCTGCACCGACTTCGCAGCTCAGTTGATGATTGGCTCGATTTGGCTGGATGAAAATTCCGGCCATGTTGGGAACAAGCCCACAAAGCAAGCTACCCGCGTCAACCCCCGAAAAAAAACTCCCCTGCATTTGCATAGTCCGCGATCCTCAAGGAGCCAATCACCCTTAATTTCTAGGGATTGAGGGAGGGCTGGGGGGTCCATTGCTTGCTTCCTTTCAGCGGCATTGCAGACAAACCTTTGGGGGTCGTACTTGCACGCAGTGCCAAGGCTACATACCTCAACCACTTGGGACTTGATCGGCTGCTTCGGCATCATGTCTGGCCTGATGCACTCTGACACCTGGAAACTTTGTGCTCGATTCCTTGCCATTATGCCGCTGGGATGCCAGTGCAAGCCATGGACCGCCAAAGTAATGCCGAGGTAGGCGTCTCTGGTCAGGCGCAGCTGGATTTGTTCAAGCCATGCTTCCCCACGTTCACTTTCCAGTTGGTACTCAAAAATACGCCTTGCCTTGCATGCAGCTTTCTTCAGAGGCCACAAGCTTCAAGAAGGGTTTCCAACATGCAGCTTTTTGGGTGTAAGCCGCTTTCGCCCTGACGGGGCAAACGCAAGGCCCACTGTGCGCGCCCAGCCGCACCGCCCGAGCTATCGATGTGCAGCCACTCGAATTGAGTGGGAGCGCGGTCGTTTCTTTTGCCTGAGACCAAGAAATTGGGCCAGAAATGTGGCCCTAGTGCTCCTATGGTTTCAGCATCCCTTCTGGGAAGATAGATGTTGGTTGGTTCTCACCAAGCACCCCTTGACCGGCCAGCAATCGGGAGGGGTTTTAGATAGACGTCGTCTCGGATCTGAGTTCAAATGTTTGACCTCGGCTTTATGTTGCATGGCAAATGGAGGTCGCGCTGGTACATGACTGTCAAGGGTCAGACAACCAGAGAAGTGCAAGAAGATACAACTGCCCAAGTTACATACAACATCATGCAACCAGATAAGTTCTGCAGTGCAACATTGACCGCAACTATGGATTAGTAGTGGTTACATGCCGCATACCGCCAAGTGGAAGAATACCTTTGGCCAAGCTTACCACCCCATTGCTCTCCAAAAGGAAGAGGGAAAGCAGGTGTGTTTGTGCCCTTTCCCCATTTGAATCTGGAAAAACAGTTTGCCACCTGGCGATTTGCGTGGTGGCAGGCGTTGGGACCTGGACCTGTTTGGAATTGTAATTTTGAACAGTCCTGGTTGCCGACACACATGTTTTGCCGGCACCCGCGACGCGCACAAGGCCGCTTGCATGCGAGTGTCAAGGCAAGAGGTAGTGTGGGCCTTGCTTGAGTCGCTGGGGGCAGGTTCCCCGATGCTTCACAGAGCCGTTTCAAAAGCAAACCAAAACGTAAGTCCTCCATTTGGGGTTTCCCTCCTTTTCTAGGGCTCCTTCTCTTCAGAAAACCCTCAGAACCGCAGGGGAAATTAGCCATTCTAGGGGAATCAACCAGGGGAAATTAGCCATGGTTTTCTGAACCGCAGGGGAAATTAGCCCATTTTTTTGAAAAGAACGGGGAGTCAACCCCTCGAATTTTGAGAAGTGCCACGCGCCTCGCGAGGCGAGGGCCACCGGCCTGGGCCGCGCCCCTTCCCTGGCTTCGGAGGTCAGCCAGGCGAGGCCGCGGAAAAATCCGGAGCGGCAAAACCCACACAGCCGCCAGCTAGACAGACAGAGCCTTGTTTGGTGGTTCTTTAGAGGGACACCAAGAGGAAAACAGCCAATTTGGGTTTCCCAGAAGAAGGCACCACCAGTAGGTCGTTGCGTATTTGTCCGGCAAGAACACCTTTCCGAATTGCACAGCGACATAGTGCCAAGAGACTGCAAAGAGGAATGTCAGAAAGAGCTTGCGCTGAGTGTCACAGAGAGGCCCAAAAAGATGGTGAGGAGAGATTGCACGCAGAAATGTAGCGGGGAGATTGCGCAGAGAGGTTCCGCACAGGCATTGCGCAGACAAAGGTCGTTGAGAGATTGGGCACAGACATTGCGCAGCAAGACTGCCAGCAATGTCGCATGATTGCTCAGAGTCGCAGAGAGACTGGTCAGCCAGGGAATGCCAGGCAAAAGCAATTGCAGCAAAAGACCGGGGATATGACCAGGGCAACAGCCACAGACCCAGGCGCTGTTGAATGGGACTCTTGGGACAGAGGGCCGGTTGCCGCCTGTTCCGGGTTCCGGGCGCCAATGTCTACGTCACGATGCGTCGACGCACAGGCCCAGACCAGAAACGAGCCAAGTTCTGGGTCATGTGTGGTGTAGAAACGCGAGCGCAACGCGGAGATCATCAGCGCCCTGGACGCACGGATGTCAATTCCGTTCGTTCCATGCTGCACGCATACTTGCCCTTCCGCAGCACCGCAGCACCGCCAAGATGACTCAGCTGGACAGCACCACTCCCCGAGGGCGCTGGATTTCCGCGGTTGAAGTTGCACTCGCTTTGGCCGCTGCTGCCTAAAACATGTGCGGTCCCCAACAACGTGACGTCGTTGGCCAAATTGAGTGGAGCAGCTCGACCCTGCAAAAAAGCACGCCTGGAGGAAGAATGCCTGATTCCCAGACTCAAATGGCAACTCTCTTTGAACTTGGGATTTTTTTTCCACCCTTTGGGGTACGCAGGTATGAGCCAAGAAGAAATTCCCCCCCCCCCCTGAGCAGCCGCACTTCCTATTTTGGCATGGTTCCCCCTTGTGCTGCAGCTGTGGGCCACTGCGCATCGATCCGGGACATGGGGGAGCTTTCTTGAGAAAAACGTCACCCCCCTGCTAAGTGCCGCCAAAATTGAGCCTGATACCCTTGGCAACAAGCAGAAATGCATATCAATATCTTCGCGTATATATATATATATAATAAATATAATAAATATATTACTATGGTTTGCTATTGGGGGTGGACTCTGTATCCCCGCAGGAGATGCGCCTGGCTCGCCTTGGCGATGATGGCACAGTACAGAGCGCAGTGGTTTGGGCTTGGGAGTGTGCGGAGGAGACCGCGATGCTCAGACTTTACGAGGGCCCGTTGTCTACGGATTTTTCAGGCTGAGAATTTTTAGGGCTCAAGTGCAGAATGAGAATTCCCAGCGCGGGTCATTGACTGAGTGGTTCGATTCCGGAATCGGAATTTTCAGGTACCTGCTGGTTTGGACCTGTGCTTAGGAGGGATTGGAAGGGCTTTTGGGAGGGCCAGAGAAAGCCCTTCCACAACAGTTGTTGGCAATCGTGTTTTTTTGTTTCCATTCTGGCATGACACTGGTCCAAGCAATTCCGAATGTCAACACAAGCATAAGTCCGCCGCGAGCTCCCTTCATGGCATCTAAGCGGAAGTTGGGATAAGTTAAAGACGGACTGGCCCTAATTGATTGGAAATTTAAAGTTCAGCTTTTGCATTCTCGGTGCTCGCGATGTCAGTTTCTTGGGCTGCCCGACCCGGCCTGGCAGGAGCCATGGCCAATGCAGACGGAGGGCACTTCCTTGATGGATTGCGCCTGAGGGCCTTGTCCAAGGCTTTCTCCCTTCGAAGAAGGGTTTGCCTTGCATGGCTCTGGAAGTGTACACCTTGGGTCACACCTTGTTGTGAGGATGATGGATTGCTGCTGTTGGTGAGGATGTGGGCAGAAAGGGGCGATGTTTATGTGCACGAAGCCGGCGGCCTTTCACTTGGCATGCCACGCATCGGGCTCGCGCAGCTGCTGGCTTACGTTTGGTTATGGGGGTGTCCTTCGGATCGAGATCAAAGTTTCCAATGCTTATCCAATGCCGGTAACATGGGCAGGCAGGTGCCAGAGGTGATACTTGTAAGGAAGGCACTTTGGAGAAACAACCGACAGTTGCACACCCGCAGCCAAGATGGCCAGTCGGGCAGCCGCCTTGTTTCTTGGCTCATCTTGGTCCGTTTTGCGTGTGCCGGGCGGATCCATCTTCCTTTGAACAATGGCGTTGCACCGCTCGATGGCAAACATGGTTTCAATGCTAGAATCCAATCTGGATTCAATTCCAGAGTCCAATTTGCATTCAATTTCAGATTCCAATTTGGATTCAATTCCAGACTCCAATGTGGATTCAATCAAAAAGAGCCCAGGATTGAATTTTATTGCATAGCCGTACTCAGGACAGCCGCTCTTCTGTGCACGGGCTATGCCTTTGCGCCGGCCCGCCAGGCCGATTTCTTCTCGCATCCCGACAGGCCCTTCTCAGCTTCCCCTAATTGATGGTTTGGTTTTGTGGTATGTTAGGGGCTGCCTTCCCCATTTGGTTTCAAAAGGAACTGGGGTCAATTTCCAAACCACCAATCCAAACCACCAGTTCATGTTGACCCCGGATTAATAAACCCCTGTTTATCAACATGGGGGTGTCCGATTCTGGTTTTAGTGGGGATTCAGACCACTTTTGGAGGGGGACACCCACCCATATGAATAAACAGGTGTTGATTAAGGAAGCAGTTCTCCATCTGCCCTCCACAAGAACCAGAGGTTCAGAACCAAATCCAAACCAAACTTGGGTTCATTAATCCAGGGTCAACATGAGAAAGCTGACTTTCTGTTGGGGGCGCTTGGGCGTAGCCTGGGTTGGCTGCGGGCTTGCAGGCGACCTGGCCTGGAGCCCTTCGAAACTTGGCATGGCATTGGCTCCGTCAGGTTTCCTTGCGATCGGTGCGAGGGGCACGGAATGAGCAGCGATATGACCCGGAGATAATCCATCCAACTGGGAAAATCCCCTGGCTCATTCCCACATTCCCTACTCACTAGCAAGTTGGTTGCCCGGTTTCCTTTTTGGGGAAATCCCCAGGTTCATGCACACATTCCCTACCTATCGCACTGATCGCAAGTTTCACTCCTTCAGTCATGGTCCACAATGGTCCATGCGCCCCAGGCCTAGCACCAAACATGTTCTAAGCCCCGGACTTTGCTTTCAGCGGCGTGGCCTATGTGGCCTCCAGTTTTACCAAAGCGCACTGAGGCAAGGAGACGCCGCTTTGCGACGCCATTGGTCTGCATTTGGCGGGGCTTGGGATGGCTTGGGCTTTCAGATGCAGACTGGGGCTGGCGAGAGATGTGGACATCCAAGTTGTCCAGCAACGCCTTACGCACCATTTGCAGTCCCCCGCGCACATTGAAGCGGCAACAGGCATGTCGAGAATCCACATTGGGCAGCCACTGGGTAGCTATGGGCGCAGGTTGGCGCAAGGAGTTTTTTGGAGGTCGGGCCATTTTAGGCATCAGCAAGCATGTTGAATCGACTTCCGAGGCTCGCTGCAAGCGCTTGGGGCGAGGCGTGGATATTTGATGTGATTTCCCTTTGCAGTTCAACGCGAGGCATCTCAGGCGTCAGGCTTGCAAGAATGAGGTTGTTTTTCCAGGTGCCAAGGTCCTACGTATGGTTGGCTGCAAGAGGTGACGGCAATGGAATGGGGGGCCACTCATGTTGGTCAACTCCAACTTATGAGGCGCCAAACAGCCCAAAGCTTTAGCCCGAAAGATCTGGCTTTTGGGCTCCAGGGTGGCCATTTGGCGATGAACATTGTGAGGTGCGCGATTCCCGAACCATGCATCCCAACCTTGCGATCGGTGGGAGAGCACTCGGAGTGTGGGAATGAACCCGGATATTTTCCCTGACAGAAAACCGCCGCTTGGATGGTTGGGGTCATTCCGTTTCTCATTCCCTGCCTATCGCACCAGCATCCCAACTTGGAGATGGCCCCTTGCCCCCCCCCCCCCAGCCAAACCTTGCGCCGCGCACGGCAAGGCGTCAAAGCTCGGCCATCCGGCGCGGAGACGTCTGAAAGCAGCCGCGGGCGCATTTTGGGAGCTGTCCTGCCACTCGGCAGTGCAGTTGGCCTGACCTGCAGTTCGAGCTGGGCATTTGTGGTGCTTGGCTGGCCGAGGCCACTCTTGAGGTAACAACTTGGCAATGCAGATGCCAGGAGGGTTGCGTAGTTGGCTTAGGGCTACAACTTGTTGCACTGCCGAGGGCGTTGTTGCTGACCTTCGGAGCATCAGCGGCCATCCCTTTCGTCTACCCTCCGCTGGTGAATGAGGCCATGTTTGGATCTGCCCAAAGCTTCAAGAAGTTGTGTGATCAATGGAGTTGTCCTATCCGTGTGGGAACTGTGCAGACACGCGCGCGTGGAAGACCTTGGTAAGATGAGAAGCAAGGCACGAGATCTTGGCAGGTCCTACGCTTCAGGAGCAAGCTCCGCGAAGTGGTGTTTGCTGCTTTCACTGCCTGTTCCATTTTGTGGCAGCTTGGCAAGGAGTCTTCTTCACACCAGGGGAGCGCATGTATGCGCGCACATTGCACATACGCAGGGCATGCGGCAGCTTCTTGATGTTTGGAAGCATTCAATCAAGCCTGGTGACTATGGGGCGATTAAGGGGCTAGAGGACAGTGAGGATGACCTGTTTTTGCCCTCTTTCTGTTTCAATATGGCTCATTTGGTTTCGAGTCTGGGGATGAAACGGGGGGCCAAGAGAAAAAGTCGGACCTTCGTACGGGACCCGTTGTCAGGAGCCATGTCATTGGGAGGGGAAGGGGGGGAGGTACATGGAGTCTTCCCAAGCAGACGCCGTGTCCCTTCAAACCAACCCAAGCCTCAAAAAAGGAAGCACTCCCCAAACACGGTTTTGGGGAGTTCTCAAGTCTGAAAAGCGGGTTCCCTTTGTGCCTAAGGGGCACTCGTTTTCTTTGGGGGGGGGTCTCACCTCCTTTTCAGAGAACCCCTCATTGGTGGTTCCGATCGGTTTGGATTTGCATTTGAAGCCCTGGTTCTTGTAGAGAGCACATGGGAAACCAGCCCCTCACCACCAATCCAAACCACCAAATGGGTGGGTGTGGGTCAAAAATAGGGTAACCCCAAAATGGGTTGGTCTGATAAAATGAAAACACGGACATTCAAACCTGTGGCCCATACCCAAATACAAGGTGAGTTTTGACCCATACCCAAATAGAGAATGAATTTAGACCCAATCCAAGCCACCAAATGGGTATGGGTCAAAAATGGGGTAACCCCAACATCGGTGGGTTCCTGACCAAAATGGATTGACCCGCGGCTCGCTTTTTGCCCCGCTCGTTTGGCCCAGGTTCCTCGGCCCCAGCCACTGGGCGGCCCGGGTCTCCGGCCGTCTGCGGCCCACCGCCCTGCGCCTCGCCGCGCAGAGGCGGTGCCGAGAGGCGGCGCTGCTCTTCGCGGCGGCGGACTTCACCAGGCGCGAGCCGCCCGCGGCGCGCGCGGAGGAAGGTCGTTCAAGTGAGGGACGGGGGGGGGGGGGGGGGCTGACGCAAGGCTCAGCTTCTGGACGTTGCGTTGGAAAGCTTTACTTTATGAACCTTATCACTTAGAGGAAGGCGAATTCAAGCGTGTCAAACTCACCTTCTGTCTCTGGGCCACTTAGAGGAAGGAGAAGTCGTAACAAGGTTTCAGTAGGTGAACCTGCGGAGGAAGTCGTTGAAGCGAGGGACGATGGAGGGGCCGGGGGTTCCGTTATTGGCGGTTTTCGGCGTTTGAGCGACTGGGTAAATTTCCCAGGAAGGCTCTAAAACTCGGTTGCCCAAAGTGGATCGACCTTGTAACCTTTTGGTTTTCCGGTTTTGATCCGTCCCCAGTTTAATTCATACAAAGGTGGGGGCCCCTCTAAGTGGTGTGAGTCCCCCACATGTCACCCAGGGACATTGATATGGAGCAGGGTTCCACTTTCGAGCAGCCCAGGTGACTTGGCACCGCGATTATGGAAAATCAGATTGGCCAACCCAAACCATGCATTTTGAACAGCCCAGCCAGTTAACAGCCGGAACCGTTCGACATTCGGGGGGTCCTTGTTTGGACCATGTTCCTTTAGGGACCGGGTCCATGTCAGATTGTTTTCCATGTGAACTGGTGCTCGAGGCTCGAGGGTATCCAGAAACAATCCCAATCGTGAGCCAGTCTTTTCCACCGGTTCGTCTCGCTGCACCAAAAAAGGGTTACCAAGTCTTCCATTTCGGGGGAGCGTCCATGTTACCATGTTAGACTGTGGCCAACCAATTCTAAGGGTTAATTCCCCGTTCTTATCACCCATCGGTCTCTATGGTTCAAGCCGCGCCTTAAAGATTCATGCACCAATCGAAAGCTCACGCCGCGCTTTCTTTCTGCCCGCCCAGGTTCGCTCTCACTGCGGGCCAGGGCTTTTTTGCGGCCTGCTTAGTGGTACAAGCGCTGCCGCCGCTGGCCAAGTACTTCGTGCCCTTCATCCCGTTCAACGCTTGCATCATGACATCGCCCATCATGCTGAAGGCGGGGCCGGCGTGTGTGAATCGCTAGGCTGTCATGTCCTCATACTCGAGTCGGGAAAAACAGGCTTGTAGTTACCACCAGGTTTCTGGAATATAGCAAATACGCCCCAAATGTTCGAGTAAGTAGGGGAAGTGATTGAAAAAGAGGCACTTTATTATCAATATTAATTATTATGATGATTATGTTTCCTGTTCTTGTTGTTGATGATGATGACGCCGATGATGATGACGATGACGATGCCGATGATGATGATGATGATGATGATGATGATGATGATGATGATGACGATAATGACGATGATGATGAGGAGGAGGAGGATGGTGATTGTGTTTTTCTTAGTCTCATTCCTCTTGTTTTCTTTTCCGCTTCAGGCCTTGGGCCCCTTCCTGGGGCCGCCCGCCTCGCTGGGGGGCTGGGTGATGGAGCTGGGGTCCATCCTCCTGAAGCGGCAGCTGGCGCTGCTGCTGCTGGCGCTCGGCGCCCTGCCGCTGGGCCGCTTCCTCTGGCGGGCGCTGGAGCCCTCGCCGAAGCGGCCGCCCGGTCGAACGAGAAAACGACCGGAGGGGGGGGGGAAAGGGGGGGAGGGGGGGTTTGGGGGGCGGGGCGGGTTTGGGGGCCGGGGGGGGTTTGGGGGGGCGGGGGGGAGGGGGGGGTTTGGGGGGGCGGGGGGGGGAGGGGGGAGGGGGAGCTTAAAAACACATAAAAAGCCATGGTGAAAGCCAAATGGTCATCCCAAAGGACCTTTGGATCAACCTCCAAATGGGAAAGGCGCCGGGTGGTTCAGCGGACTTCGGTCGGTTCGAACCTGGTCCAATTCAGAATTGTTCAGGCTTCGCACGGATCATTTTCAGTTCAACTGGCATCGGTTCAGCCACGCTTGGGTTGAGATTTCTCGAGCTTTGCCCAACTGTTGCCCCAAATTTCGGCGCAGTGGTCAGGCGAAGGCCACTTTGCAAAACTTTGGTTAGGTGCATTTGGATAAATCAAACTCAATCCTTACTGCTCTACTGCTCCATGTTGGACCCAACCAGTTCACCTCAGTCAGTTTTTTTTTCAGTAAAATGGCGGACCCCTGTTGGATTCTATTCAAAGGGAAGCCAAAAGCAAAACAGCCATTTTGAGAGCCCAGGAATGCCTCGGCAGATGTGAAAGGCGTGCTACGGGAGTTGCTGCGCTTCGGTCTCTGCGGGGCCGTCGTGTGCCTGGGCGCGTGGGCCGTGCTGACGATGAACGGCCGCCCCGTGCCGCAGTGGCTGCCGTTGATGGCTTTGGTGGCTGTGCAGCCTCTCCAGGACTGGGTCTTAACGCGGGTCTGGGTCAAACAAGGGGGAGCCAAAATGAGTCGTGTCCTTGTCACAGATAGAATGAGTGTTTCTTCATTTGTCCAGCCCTCCTATTTGCCACCCAGTCTGGTAAATCACCCCCCTCCCAGCGACTAGGAAGAATCTAGAGTCATGTTTTTTGATGGTGGATTCCTTTCTTCCAAAGAAGGTCACCCTGATTTTTGCTGGCTGGAGCAGCAATTGGGGGATCGCCGCCAGGATGAGAGTTACTTTCTTGGACGTCCCTTGATTTAGATTGGCAAAATGTTGCCGTTCCCCGCACTTTGGTGATTGTGCTGGAGGCAAAGTCGAGCTGATCGATACATGGTCTGGTCTGAAGTTTGATTTGCATTGAGTTTCTGTTTAGCCAGGTTCGCCCGTCTTTTGATCACAGGTGGCGGAGGTTGAGGCTGCTCATGCAAACGGTCAAGCAGGACGTATAGCTACACGTGAGGTCATTGTCAGCTTTGGGCTTGCCCTTTTCAGGGCAGTTTAGGAGACTCAGTTGTTCAGTGGCCCCCTTTTTCCTTTTTTTTTGGGGGGGTGGCTGCCCCACTAAAATGGTCTTGGCCAAGCCTGGCCCGTGCCGGAAAAGAGATCTGGCTGTGGGAATCAAAACCGTTTTGGCATCCCATTTTTGGGTTTTCAGAATTCACCACCCATTTTAGAACCTATACTGTAGTGGTTGGATTTGGATGTTCACTGGGGATACGGAATCGGGATTTTGACCCATGGCCTGAGTGTTGCCCTCAGCTGGCAGGACTTGTTGGCCCGGCTGGGTTTCATGCTGAAGCCGGGGCACGACGTCAAGGGAGCCTCGGTCGCAGGGGCCTTGCCTGCCACGGGGATATGTGACATCCGGGTCGAGCAGCGTGGCCTCGGAGCAGTGGATCTCACAATGGTTCCAAGCGAGTTTCTACCTCTACCCATTCTGCAGGCAACTATGCCCAGAAGATGGTACAGTGGCTATATATGTGTGTGTGGGTTTGTGTGGGTTTGTGTGGGTTTGTGTGGGTTTGTGTGGGTTTTGTGTGGGTTTGTGTGGGTTTGTGTGGGTTTGTGCGGTGTTTTTGTTTTTTGTGTTTGTGTGTTTGTGTGTTTGTGTGTTTGCGTTTGTATTTGTGTTTCTGTGCGTGTGTGTTTGCGTGTTTGTGGGTTTGTGTGTGTGTGTGTGTTGTTTGGTGTTTTTTTGCGCAGAAGCAGCGTGGCTTTGTTTGACAGCAGCTTGTGCCGGTCAGCGGTCACGTAAGACAGGAGCACGGCCCGCGGGTCCTACCATGCCCAGCCCTTGGTGAAAGGAGGGTGCCCGTACCCCACGAGAGGACCCTTCTCAATGGGAACCCCGGGTGAATTTTCACGCACCCTTTTGGAGTTTCGTCACTTTTGGAGGGAGCAACACCCTGATTTACACGGTACAAAGGGAAGAATGTGTGGACAGGGCGTCCATGGTTGCCGCTTTTGGCGGGGATGTTGTTCTCGTGGTTCTGCTGGGCACTGGGTGGATTGTGTGATCAGGCATTTTCAAATAGACAGGATGGGACAAAACATGGACTGTATGTGTAGTGTTGGCACATGGATCTGCAGCAGGTGATTGACGTGACGGATTTGCATTGCATGCCGTACTCTCAAACGCCAGTTGCACCAGGGTGAAGAGGGGCACAACCCAACTGCAATCCTGAGCTGTGGCGCCCAACTGCAATCCTGAGCTGTGGCGGGACAGCAAGGTCTGACACAAGGATAAAGGATTGATTTTAAACAAACCCAGAGTGTAAGGGAAGCTGTTCTTTGGAACCCAGCCCATACTGGATGCACATAGAGCTGAAACAGCTGAAGCTGGCACAAAGACTCCTTCGCTACTACTGTGGATGGATAAGTTCCGCCCACGTTAAATCCATGGTTCAAACAACAAAGATTTTCGTATCACCCCTACTTAATGGCCTTCAAACCTTTCTGGTGCCAAAAATGCTGCGGGCATCAGGGCTTTGGAAATCAGCTGGGGCTTCCCTGGATCCTGCTGAGAGGAAAGAGGCACTTGCGATCGAAGATGCGATCCGTTAACTTAAGAAAGAGGCACTTGCAGCTCATTTTGATCAAACCGACTGAAGCTGCGATCCATTTTTTGTTTGAACGGCGCCTAGAACCTCCTGTGCCAAATCCATTACATATTTTGTTAAACCCATGGCTGTTACAGATGTTTCTTAAGCCCATCGCTGTTACATATTTTCAGTACGCCCATGGCTTCCAAGGACTCTGCGCTCTGCGCGGGGGTCGCTCGGGTTGGAACCGCACGGCGGGGCACGGGGCAAACCCGAGGCTTCGTGGGGGGCGCCATGGTGACGGGCGAGCTCCAAGGCTTCCGGGGCACCAACGCGGAGATCGCCACCGACGCGCCTTGGGGCGTTGGGGCTGGGCGGGGTGTCGTTGTGTGTGTGTGTGTGTTCCTTTGTTTGCTTGCTTGTGTTTTCGTGTTGTTGTTTTATTATTATTATTAGTATCATTATTATTATTATTATGTTTATTTGTTGCTTTGAGTTGATTTGTTTGAAGCTTTGCCTCGGTTGGTTGGTTGGCTGGTTGCTTGCTTGGTTGGATGCTTGCTTGTGCCTTTTAGCGATGTTTGCCTTTTGCCCGCTCACTGATTTCCCGGACGCCTCAGATTCCACATTCTTCCCTGAGCGCGTGTTTTTCTTCATCGAACTGAGAAGGACGAGCTGGCAGAGGTGCCAAAAGGAAGCCATCAGTTTGGTTTTGCGTTGGCTTAGTGGTTTCCATTTCACCCACAAGTTGTTTACTACCCCTCCAAACGTTTTCGACTTCTAAGGAAGCTACCTTGTTGGTTTCGAGTCGGCTTGGTGGTTTGCATTTATCTATGAGACAAAAAACATTTCTAGTAGGGGACCCGACAACGGACAGCCATCTTGTTGGTTTTGAGTTGGCTTAGTGGTTTTTATTTAACCCACAAGTTGAACAAACCCACTTAAAGTTTTCGAGTTCTAGCCCCAAGCCAAGAACAGGGTCCCGCCTTTTGACTACCCCAAGATAGACTTAAACCCACAAGTTCCCCTTTTGGGTGATGAAACACCGGGTTTAAGTCTACCCTAGTGAAAAAGTGGAGCCCTGGCTGGTGAGTTTTAGACGTTCCCTAGTGGTTCCATTTATGTCCCATTTAACCCACAAGTTGAGTTGGACTGACCCACTAGACGTGTTCGACTCCTAGGGGATCCGAAAACGGACAGCCAAAAACAGGATCCCGCTTTCCCAAGATAGACCTAAACCCAGGGGTGCCATTTTTTTGGGGTGAGGAACAACCGGGTTTAAGTCTACCCTGAAATAATGAAAAAGTGGAGCCCTCTAGTGAAAAAGTGAAAAGGTAAAAAGTGTCCATTTAACCCCCAAGTTGGACTAACCCTCCATCAAACAAAAACACAACTTCTAGCAGACCCGAAAACGGACAGCCAAGAAAACCCGACGGCCCGAGCAAGACTTGAGTTGGCTTGGTGGTTTCCATTTAACCCACTAAAAGCAAGCTTTCCACTGCTAGGGGACCCGAAAACAGACAGCCGAGAAGCCACCGCCCGAGGCCGGTGTAGTGCTGGTGCCAGCGGCCTGCGCCTGGGGCCTGGCGCGGGCGCCGAAGGTCCGGGCGCTGGAGACGGCCGCGGTGCCGGCGGAGCGCTTGGCAGCGGCCTTGGGCGAGGCCAAAAAGGCGGACGGCGGACGGGACGGGGGAGGGCAGGGTTGTGGGATCAAGGTTTTTTCCCCCACTTCTGTGATACAAGGGATTATCCTCTTTACGTCGGCAGTTTGTCTTTGAGAAGCCCTTTTTGTTGTATCACAGAAGTGGTCATTTCCCACAGCCCTGGGGGAGGGCGACGGGGTGGGGGGGATAGTCAACAAAATAAAACGGTTTCAATTGGGGTAAACCAACCATTTACTTGGTGCTGGAAGCAGGGACAAATGCGGGTCAACGTCCGCTGTCTCAGTGTAAAAAATGCATCTTTTGTTGTTTTGCGGTTTCGGCCCACAAAACAAGCTCAGTCCAAACACGAGTTCCCTTTTCAATGAGACAGCCAACCATTTAGGCTTCTTGTTTCAATTGTGAGCGGCCATCATGAACCTTCCCTCTAACATGGAGCAACATGATTTTCCAGGGACCTCCAGGTGGGCAGGGGAGGGGTACTTGGTGCATTTTGTTCCTTAATAGCTGGCCGGCTTTGCTTTCCCGCGGATGATTTTGGGAGATTTTGGGAGTGTGGTCAATGGGATCGCCTGGAAAAAGGGATCCCAAAAGGTACCCAGGCACTGAGGGGGCAGGGAAGATGTAGGCCTTGGACCCGCCGGCGGACAAGAAGAAGAAACTTCTGGCCCTGCCAGTGCTCTTTACATTGGCGGCCTTGGTGACGAGGTTCCCCGTCGCTGGGAGTTTCCTTTATGCTCTCGCCGTCAGTTTGTGCCTTGCCGCAAGTTGGTTTTTTGTTCGGGGGCTGAGGGGAGGGGGGAGGCGGGAAGGGGCATGTGTGTTTCTCTTGCTGGTTCGATAGGCAATGAATGATAAATGGAATGACCCCGATAAAAAAACAAACAACATCCCCCATGGTTCCCTTTAAGGGAATCCCCTTCCGGTTCATTCCCAACACCCGGAAGGGTCATTCCCTGTCGCACCGATCGCACGTTTTATGCTGCAAGCTGCATGCAAGTTAGTTGCCTCGCTTGGGTCTCCATATGGCTGCGAGGTACCTTAGTGCTTTCGTGCTGCCACCGCCACTGGTGGTGATTCTGCCGCTGGTGATTCTTATGTTTGGCGGGCCTGCCAGCTCAGTGAGTGCAAAGGGAATGGCCTTGGGACTGGCCTTGAGTGGCTTGGCATGATTTGGCCATGGTTCAAGACCATTTGTGTATTACACCCTTGGGAAATGACCCAGAATGCTTCAAAATAACACGGTGTTCTCCGGAAATACAAAAAAAACCCTTAGATTTGTCCTCCATGCCACGCCTTCACCTCGCCGAGGCGCGATCAAGCAATTGGTGCAGAGACCCTCCGCCAAGGCTTCTGTCACCTGCAGCGCGCTCGACCTGGACCAGGCGACGCGCAGCGGTTTGGATGGCAGGGCGTCCGGTTTGCGTGTGGCAAGGCAAAACCGCTCTCTGGCACTAGGTCCTTCAAAAATGTGAGTCCTTATGCCAGTTGGGAATAGTGTCCCTTGCAGGGATGATCCCACCACGGACCAGGATTATGGTGTGCAAGTAGATGGCACAATTCTTCCGTGTTTGGCTCAAGTTGCCCTTTTGCTTACCATCTACCCTCCCACCAATTAACATGAACCTAACCCGGTCCCTTTAAACGGAAAATCGTCCAAACCAGGACCCCCCCCGTTTTGCCAGGTTCCATATTATAGAGTTGGTGGGCGGGTATCTTTGGCTATGGACCAAAAGGGGAAAACAAAAGGTAAAAAGGTGAGCTTTGACCAAGTGGAGCTCCCGCCAATTAAAACGTAACTCCGACTAGCCGCCCAACGCCATTTTGCGCCAGGGCCAAGCCACGCTGGCGTGGCAGACCGACCCTGAGGCTCAGGTGCGCGCAGGGTGGTTGTGAGAAAAGTACCAGGGGCAGCCGCGTTGTGGGCAGTACGAGGTCAAAAGAGGTGGTTTCGGAAAAACAAGCCAGACGGGCTTTTGTAGTGCGGCTTGGTGTGGCAGTTTTGATTCGACACTTCGCTTTTAGCGGAGCGGCGACTGCCTTGAGCCAGGTGGCTGAAAAGGTGGCCGCGGCCGTCGCCGGCGAGAAGGCGCGCGCAAGCTTGCCAAAGCGAAGCGAATCAGAGAGAGCGCCAGGCGAGTAGCAGCATGGCGAAGTTTGAGAAGAAGCAAAAGGTGAAAGGCATCCTGCTCAGCCAAGGGCTCAACTAATTGGCTGTTTTCGCGCTTCTGCATGGAGCACGTGTCATCCTAACTGGTGATTGGTTTTGCAGAGTCTACTTCTGCAGAGAGACATGAATAGCGGAAGGCATGCACACATTCTTTGCCCAGGTGCCCTGACGGTGGTGCTTTTGTGCGGGGTGGTGGCGCACCTTGCTCGCACAAAGTCTGCGGTGAACCTCCTGCAAGTCACAAGCCATGGAGTCACGTGAAATGCGCCACGAGCACCCCGAGGTGGGAGCCATTTGTCGAGCACGTGGAGGCTTCGACCAGCCAGATGGGCGCGCGTCGGCTGTCCGCAAAATAGCTGGGGGGGGGAGGGGGGCGGGATTGCTTGGCCATGCGGGAATGCTTGCAATGCACGGCTGAAACGCGGTCAAATGCATCGGTCGCCACACAACGTCAAATTGTCAATTAACTGAATGTTTGATGTGCCACCGTCATGTTGCCCCTTTGACACATGCACAGTGTGGCTGCTAGATGCGGATCAACTGCAACATTCTATTTAAATTGTTTTAAGAAAATATTTAAAACAAACTATATCAGTCAATAAGGAAGGGCATCCAGCGCCTTGCATTTAGCTTCAGGCGATCCACATTCTGGAAGCTTGCCATGCAAATCTGACAGGCCTGACACATGCCTCATCCAAGGATTGCTGATATTTGGGATTTGCTCCGGCTGCGTGGCTGCAAGAATGGATGGAAACACGATTGCATACGTGCCAGGTAGAGAATCGACAAACCCCGCCCACATACATCGAAGCATATTTTGTTGGATACCCTCCCACACATTAACATAGTTTTGCGTGAGGGTACCTGGAAGATTAATTTCCCCTTGAAGCAACCCTCTGTGAGGTGCTATGTTAGTTGGAGAGAGGGTATCCGGGCTTGCCCCCGTCGCCATCCTAGATTCTGAGCGCCCACCTCTTAATGGCATTTGTCCGTCCCCCGAACGGCAAAGGTGGCTGTGGGTCAAAACCAATGGGATCCCATTAGTGGGGATTGGAATGTTCACTGGGGTACGGGATTTTGACCCATTCCATGTGGTTCCAATATGGTTCAAGCGGCCAAACGCTCCCTCTGCGCTTTGCCCAAGATGAAACCCAGCGGCTTGAGGCCTATCGCTGCGCCTGATGAACTTTGGGATCATTCCCAGCGGCGCGCGGTTTGTGGCTTGCCCCAGGTTCTTGGCGCGCTTGGCTGTTTTTTGTTTTTCTACCCCCATGGGTCGGGCCCAAATCGGGGGATGCGGCCATTTCCATTGTGCCTTAGCTTCATAAATTGCATTGCCAGTTTTAGGGGCACTGCAAATGCACCGCAGCCTCCGATGTGAGTGCCAACTTGCGGGAAGCAGCAAGAACGGCAGCCTTATCATTCAAGAAGCAGCGTGTGTGAAACGGTCGCAGCCTGCCGGGTAACTACCACGGTTCCATGTCGCCGTTGTGACTTGAGCGATCATGAAGTTTTCTGCACAAGAAAGCGGGAACTGGACGTTATAAACTTTTACGGTGCCACGATCTTGCTGGCCTTTTGATGAGCTCGTTTTACGTGATGTGTGAGGATCCCTTACATAGGTGTCCTTTTTGGTTGTTTTGGTAGAAAAGTAGATGGCGATTCCTGGTTGACCTGGTGGTTTAATCATCTACCAGGGCCATCTCTTCCCCTTAAAAGGACACCCATGGTCCGTTACTTTAGGTTTTGTGAGTGGTCGACTTGGCAGATCTTTCCCTACCAGACCCCAGCGTCAGGTCTTGCCGGCTCCGCTGGCTGCCCTGAGCGCAGGGCCAAGCAAGGCCGCAGCAGCCTCAGAAAGCAGAGGAAGCTGGAAGCTGGGGTCATCTTTGTGACGGTTGCTGGGGGGGTTGTCAAAGTCAGAAAATGGGGGGTGACTTTGGTCAGAATCATTTTTGCTGGGTTTTTGTTTTGTTTCTGGAAATTGTCGAGGTCAGAAAGTCTCTAAGAAACCAACTACAGGAAGTTCTGCAGGAAACCCCTGATTTTGGTGGGAATTTGGCTAGTTTTATGTAGAATTTCCTGTAGCTGGGTTCTATGAAAGTCAGAAAATGGACTCTGTTGTTTCTCTTTAAGCCACCACGACTTTTGGGGGTGACTTTGATCATGCTAAAATAATGAGGCCAGCTGGAAGCTGGCGCTTGTGCTGAGCCGGTGCTTGCATGACCACATGTGGCCGTGGGAATCAGAACCGAGGGGCTCCCATTTTGGGGTTTTCGGTGCACCACCCATTTTAGGACCTATTTTAGTGGTTGGATTGGGATGTTCACTGGGGGTACGATTTGGGTTTTGACCCATGGCCATGTTGCTCCGAGTCGGAGGTGTCAGCCTCATATCCGCGGCTGGTGCCGCAAGCGAGCAAGCGCATGCTTCCATGTTGCCTTCCATTCGGAACACGTCAACTCCTTTCGTGTCAAGTCCCCTTTTTCCAGTCGGCGCTCTCGGCCGACTGGACCGAAGGTCCGCACCTTGCCCAAAGCTGAGCCATTGACTCATGGCCACAAGGGTGACGTTTAAAGCCACCGACCCATGGAATGAAGGGATCTGTTGGGGCACCCCTCAGTACACAAATCCATGTCAAAACAGGAGACCCAACAAATGGCGACTCTGCTCTTCAGGCGACATCCGTTAGCTGGATTTCGCCTTTTGAAGTGGTACGCCATGGCACACTTCGTGGCTTCCATAGAATCGCGCGGAGGGTAACCGGGGAACCTTCTCCTAATGAAAGCGGACAAGGGGCTTCAAAAGGAATGCAGTCTAAAACACCTGGAAGGTTACGCATGTCGCACAGGTTGGCCATGATTGGCTTTCTTATCCAAGCAGTTTGGGGTCATGTTTCTGGGCTCAGAGTACTCCTATTTTGCGGCCTGGGGAATAGCACTCAGAGAGAGAAAGCGAGAGCACATTTTCCAATTTGGGTGTGTCTTTTTCTAGGACACCCCCAAAATCGGCTTTCCCACAGAAAGCACACAATTGGGTAACCTCCAATGATTTGACACACCCAAGTCGAACTAGAAATGATTGGAACCAATCAGCGGAACCCCAAAACGAGTAGATCATGCCGGCTGGGGGGGAGGGAGGGGAGGGGGAGGGAGCCAAAACAACACAAAACCTTATCAAGCCCTTGTTAAAAGGCAAATTTAGGGCTTATTTGGGCTCCCCAGCCCCCAAGAAGTAGACTCAAAGAGAGCGCCCCGCGCCCCACGCGCGCTGTCGCGCCCTGAGGCTCACTGGTTCCTGGCGGTGAACACTCGGGCCGCCGCAGCGGGCGCCGCGGCCGGGTTCCTGCTGCCGCGGGTGGGCCTCCTGCGACTCGGAGGTCAGACGTATTTGGTGAGCCGTCCAAATCCAGGGTTGTGGGATCACTCGCGGTTTCTCCCCACTGTGATGCAAGGGAATCCCCCTGAAATGTGAAAAGCATTTGGGAGGCCCTTTCTGTTGTATCACAGAAGTGGTCATTCCCCACAGCCCTGTCCAAATCCATATCGTACAGTGAACATCCCAACCCCCACTATAGACTAAAATGGGTGGTGCACCGAAAACCCCAAACTGGTACCATTGGTTTTGACCCATGTGATGATCATGACATTGTGGTTTGACTCCAACCCATTCGACTCAGGGGAAAAGCACAAATGATTATTCATTTCAGCCAAATGGACGTAGCTATTTGGCAGTGGGAATCGAAACGGTTTTGGGATCCCATTTTGGTTGGCTTTCGGTGAATTCACCACCCATTTTAGGACCTACTTTAGTGGTTGGATTGGGATGTTCACTGGGGGTACGATTTGGATTTTGGACCCATGGCCGATTTGGTGGCCCGAAATGGATCGCTGTCCTTTGGTCCCAATGGTCCGATCCGATGGCTTTCCTTCGGTCCCAGTCCCAAACTGTGCCAGAAAACGAACACGGAATGTGGCAAGACCTCACCCGTCAGGGAAGGAGTTCCTTTAAGATCTGCAAACCAGTGGGTCTTTGTTCCCCCATGGGACCTGTCCGCCCTGCCCATGTTGCAGTTAGGACAACCAACAGTAGGTCAAATGCAAATACGGAGCAAAGCCCGCCACGAAAGTCGAACCTGGGTAAGGAAGAAAAGGCTCACGAAAATGATGGTACCCTCCCTCCCACTGACAGAGGGTCCCTTAAAGAGGAAATTGGTCTTCCCGGGTGTTCTCCCACAAATGCCATGTTAGCGGGAGGAGGGGTATCAAAACAGACGGCTAAACCCACCCCTCACAAAAAGGCTCCAGCTGAGCTCGTGCCGAGGCAGAAGCTGGTCTACCATTTCCAGATCGTGGGGCAGGTGCCTGTTGGGATCTCTGAGGGTCTCACTCGCGACCTTTGGACATGGTGCCCTTCCTTTTGTCATGCTTTGTCCATTTAGTTGACCAAGGGATAGGATGTTCCCCCACGTCTTTTGGGGCAAGTGCTCTATAGGCACTCGAAGAGTCACAGGCGCGGCAAGTCCGGTGGCACTCCCAGTTCCCGCGAGGTCGAATCCGTGTTCCCATCCTGGAAAATAGGACAAAGAAGTGCGCTGGCCTCGACTACCCTCCGAGCACTTTCCCATGAAAGTCCCGAGCCCGCGCCCATTGCCAAAACATTCTCGCCAAAGACTTTTCCAAAGACATGATTCAACATTCCAGACTACCCTCCAAACCCAAAGCATGCCATTCCCCAAGTCGGTTCCCAGAACCAAAGCATTCCCAAGGTCAAAGTCCAAAAGCCGCCGCGCAGCGCTGAACAGTTCTCTTAGGGTCGCGTTCACAGCTCCAAACAGCGGCCGCCGCTCGGCCGCTCGCCGCGCTGACGGTTGCCGCGCTGACCGCCAGGTGGCGTGGGTGGACGCCTGGGCCCTTCAGATGTCCAGCGCCTTCCTGGGATCCGTGCTCAGTGTCCAGGCGGGCGAAAGCGGGCGCGGTCGCAGGCCGGTGTCAGAAGGGTTGTAGTCAGGCTAGGTCCCCTTTTCCATTTTTTTTTTGGGGGGGGTTCCCCTACTAAAAGTAGACTACAGAAAGAAGGGTGGGTACCCTGCAGGTCTACCAACAAAAATACGGCCACTTTAGTAGAACCAAGAGTCAACGGGATCTGCGGGCCGCTCTAAGCGGGTTTGTCTCAAGATAGGGGCATCGAAGCAAGAAGTTTCCTTTTGGCCGCCCTCCAAATCAAGCCCACAAGGGTACCCTCAAACGGACGTCCAAATAATTACCTTTTTGAAAGAGTGTCAGGGTTGCATGGAACTTCTTGACCAATCCCAGCTGCCGGTGGTTCCCTTTGGGTTCCTTTCACGGCCCAGTCGCCTGGGCAGTTTGGAGCAGCCCCGCTTGTCACGGCGGCCTGAGCCGCGCGAGCGATTCCGCGGCTGACACGACACCGGGCCGCGCGAAACCGAGCGTTGGGATCTGCCAGAAAAACGCCAAGCCATAGGTTATTACGTTGGGAGCTGGGGGAGCCGGGGAGCTGGGGGCATCCAAATTTGCTTGTAAAGAGGGAGCCCTTGAAAGAGGAGTACAAACCTTCGGTGCATGTTGCCAAGGGATGCTGGGAAGTTTTGACTTTTGCCAGCTGATGAGTTTGTTTTCCGGATCAGACCACTAAAAGTTGAAAACTTTTAGCAGGGGAGCAGAAAGCAACCGAGATTTGATGTCATTAGGAAGCAGTAGGATTGGGAGCTTCGGGCTTGGAACCCTGGTTCTTGTAGAGGGTAAATGGGATCCCCACCCTTAAAACTGGAACTGGGGGAGGGGGTGACGCCGGGAGATCTCCATTTATGGTGTCATTTTCCCTTTTATGAGGAAGGCTAGATAATTGGAATTGGGGGACCCCCCTCCCCCCTCCGTAAGGTAGGGGATATGGGAAACCACCCCTAACCTCCAAACCACCAATCAGAGGGAAGCTGCAACAGGTCAGCGAGGCTGCACTTGTGATCAGTGTTGGTCACCCAGGTCAAAGGCTGTCAGGCTCAGAGTATCTCAGAGTTTGTGGCATCCCATGCCAGGCAGCTCGTGCGTTGAATCGCCAGCTGCCCTTCCGCTGCAGCAATGCATTCTTTGGCGCCTCGGCTGTTGAATTCAAGGCCTCTCATCGCCGTTTAGGCCCTGGGGCCTTGCTGACTTTTTTTTTAAAAAAATACCCCTGCGCTCTTGGAAGTGCATTCGGCCAAGGGTCAGCTGCCATGTGCTCATGTTCCAGGCTAATCGGCCAAGCGCAACTGCAGTGGTTGCAGATCTTGGGCAGTGCTCCGTGGCGAACTTCAACAAAAGGCATCGAAGTCGTTGGATGACGTCTCCACAGACTTGGCAAGACCAGGAGCCAGCCTCCTGCCCAACTGGCAGTGGAAAAGCTGGAGCTAGTCTTGTTTTTGGAGAGATTCCAATCTAGTGAAAGACTGCTGAACCACTAAGGGGTGTGCATTTGTGTGAGAGCACCCTTTTCAGGGTGAGAAAAAATGGACACTGAAAGGAACATTGATTCCCCCCCCCCCCCCCCGCGCCCCAGCCATTTTTTTTGGGGTGCATCCATCTATGGGCTTGGCTCCCATCTTACCGCTGGGGCCCAATTTTCGTACCAAGGCATCCTGGTGGCGATTCTCCGCGCCAGTTTGGTGGGTCTGGGTGGTGGCCTGGTGCTGCGCTGCGTGCTGCTGGCGGCCGGTGCTCCGGGCCCCTCCAGCGTGGGGGTGGCAGGACGTCCGTGCCATTGGGCGCATTGGGGGGGGGGACCGTCCAGCTATGAAAAGAACAAGGCAGGGGGTTGGTACAACCACGGGGGTTCATCATCTATATCAGGGGTTGGAGGGGTAGAGGGAGTTA